CTCTGCCTCCGTCTCCATGTGGCTTCTCCTCAGTGTCTGTGTCTCTCCTCCTCTGTCTCTTCTAAGGTCACTGTCCTTGGATGCAGGGCCACCTCCTCCAGGAGGACCTCCTCTCAGGTCCTTCACGTCATCCCATCTGCAGAGACCCCGGTCTCAGTCCCAGGTTCTGGGGGGATGTGTCCTTCTTAGGGGACACATCTCACCACCTGGCACCTGCAGACGGCAATGCTCGTCTTGGCCTCACTGGTGGTGGCCGTGGTTATTGACCTTCTAATGATTATCAACAATTTTGTTTGGACTCCAAGCACCTGGGCTGAGATGGGAAAGTGGCTCTCAGGCCCCGGGCCCCTCTGAGCACCAGACATCTTCCTGTCTCCCTGAGGGGTCTGGCCGGTTTCTCTCGTGGGGGCCTGTCTTAGTTCCCTGAGTCGGTCATGAAAAGGACCATGAAGTGGGTGGCTTAAAACCACCCTCTCTCAGTCCTGAAGCCCAGAATGGTGAGATCCAGGTGTGGGCAGGGTCAGGGTCGTGCTCCCTGCAGAGGCTCCAGGGGAGGGTCCTTCCCACATCTGGGGGCTCCAGGCGTCCCTCCCGATTCCACATGGCGGACTCCCCATCTGGGTGTGCCTGTCTCCAAATTCCCCCTTTTTATAAGGACACCAGTCATATCCATACGGGGTCCCCCATGCTCCACCCCGACCTTCTCTTGGCTAATTACATCTGCATGGACCCTATTTCCAGATTAGGTCTGAGATGCTGAGGGTTAGGACCTCAACATGTGAATTTGGGGAGGACCCACGCAACCCGAGTGGAGGCCCCATTCCCTCCCCATGGACCAGGGACAGACTTTCTCCTTTACTTTCCTTTCACCTGCAGACTGAGGACAACTTCCTGAAGCTGAGCAATCCTGGAACCTACACCGTGAGAATAAGAGCCAGGCACACGGCCATGCTGGCCCCCTCGTGGGGCGAATGGAGTGCCCAGGAGCGCTTTGGTGAGTAGGGCGCCCTCTCCCTTCCCCTGCGGGGTGGGGCTCAAGGAGGCACAGACAGCTGGCGACCAGCCTGACGGACACCCTGTGCAGAGGAGGAGGTGTCCAGAGAAGGGGCTGGCGTTCCACATGCCTCTCTGAGGATGACAGGTGACCCCACAGATGGTGAGAGGGGACCAGACGGTCCCTCTCCCCTTCCCCCTGGGGTCTTGCAATAATGGAGCAGTCGCCGGCAGTGGGGCCTTCGTGTCCCATCCGAAGTCGCCCTGGGTACTGGCTTCCCAGTCTGATTGGAAGCGTTTCTCCCAGAGCTGTTTTGAAACCAGACCCTCCTCCCAGGCCCCAGAACCTGGCACTCAGAACCTGGAATAGCAGGAAACTGAGGCCGTGCCCCTGAGCCCTGCGGCGGCTGTAGCAGATGACCACAAAGGGGGCTTACACAACAGAAATTCATCCTCTCCCAGTCCTGGGGACCAGATGTCTGAGATCAGAGCCTCCCTTTGGAGGCTCCAGGGGAGACCCTTTCCTGTCTCTTCCAGCTTCTGGGGACTCCAGGGTCCCTGGGCTTGCCGCGGCCTCCCTCCTGTCTCAGTCACAAGATAAACCTTTTAATGCAGTTTTTTTTTAAATGAAAATCGACGCGAAAAAAATCCATGATGATCATATGTCAAAGTCAAGCACTGAGGCAGTGCGCACCCAGGACGCAGTGCGGGAGGGAGGAACATGGCATTACCGCCTCCCCCCCCCCCCCCCCCCCCCGGCAGAACCGGCCCCGGCGCGGGCCCTCCGGCTGGGCGTGGTTGCCCCCTCGGCCGCGCCGGCGGACGCGCCCAGGGCACACGGAGAAGCCGCGAAAGCCGAGCTCTCTGAAAACCCTGGCGCGGCCGGGCGTCCCGCGCAGTGGGCAGCCCCGAGGGACCCCCCAGTGGTCGGCGCTACCAGCCCTCCACTCCGAGTGTCCGTCGGTGGTCGGGAGGCAACGGGATTCTGGCGACGTGGGAGGGATTCCCGCGGGGGGACCGGCCCGGTGCGCAGGCGGCCGCGGTCGCCAGGTGGACGGCGCTCCTGGACACGTGCCGGCCACCTCCTCCCGGATCCCCCGGGGAAGCACCGTCCCGGGAGCCCCCAGGACCGGCCCGACGCGTCCCCTCCGCCCCTCTCCCTAGTGTGTGGCCGCGCGCCCCTCCCTGTGTGGCTGACCTCCTTGCTGATCGCGCTGGGGACGCTGCTCGCGCTGGGGCTGGTGCTCCTGCTTTGCAGAAGGTGAGCGCCCGCCGCCCCGGGCTTTGCGGGGTCGTTTCCTGGAGCCGACTGCGCAGCGCACTTCCCACGCAGCCGGCCCTGCCCGGTCCGCCGCGCCCGCGTCTCCACCCCGTCCACCCGTGCGCCCGCGTCGTGGCTGCGGAACGCGCGCCCGCCCGTCGCAGGCGTACCACCCCTCCTCCAGTCGTCCCAACGGTCTTTCTCCAACAGAACCCTGGTTTCCGCCATCTGGTCCCTGCCGCCCGCAGAACCCAAGGAGCTGGGTCCCCAGTGCAACATCTTGGGGCCTGTCCCTCCCGAGACCCCCAGCACACGTGGGGGAGGGGTCTGCAGCCAGACCCACTCCCGCTTGTCCCCACATACCCCCACTGTTTGCTCCCTCACACCATGCCCACATGCCCCCCCGCCCCCAGCCACCTCAGGACGTGGTTCTGGGACCGCTCCCCAACCCAGCGAGCAGCAGGTGGGCGGCCCGGTTATCATCGCCTTTCCCCGCGACGGAGGTCCCTTTTGGAGACCTGCGCGTGCAGCCTAATTAGCGACCCGGGCACAGGACCTGCCCTGCCTGGTCCGGGGAGAGCTGTTCCTCCAGCCTCTAGCTCCGGTCCCGTCTCTGTCCTGGCGTCCCTCTCACCCCCCCCCCCAGGCGGTTCAGGCTGAGCCGCCCTGCCCGGAGGCTCGGTTTTGGAGTGGATGGGCCAGTGTCGCAGGGAGGGGACAACCTGCTGCGGGCGGGAGCTGTCGGGTGAGGGAGGTTGCCATGGTGATAGGATCCTAGGGCCGCCTCCATCTTTACAGGTCTCTGGTGAGGTGCAGGGGCGGGGTGAGCTGGGGAAGTGCGCCTCTGCAAAGACTCGGATTTCTCGTTCCCGCTCGTCTCCGGATTGGGGGCGGGGAACAGAGACCCCTCCCAAAGGAGACTGGAGTCCGGATCCACCGTGGCCTCGCCGAGGCCCTCTAGCGGACTTGCGTCTCCCCGGTGACACGCCGGTTGGTGCGGGTTTCCGAGCGGGTGAATTTCTCTCTCCTGCCAGGTACGCGGTGATGCAGCAGCTGTTCCCGCCCATCCCTCATGTGAAAGACCCCATCAGTGACCACCTTCAGAACGAGAGGATGGTACGTGGTGGTCCTGCGGTGCGTGGGTCTGTTGGCCACGAGGGGTGGCCAGGAAAGGTTGCCAGGTGCCGTGATCTGTCTCCCAGCCTGTGACACGGGGTGGTTACCCCGGGGTGCTCCCTGGGGCAGGTGGGGCCCTGGGAGCCTCGTGCCAAGGCTGGTCCTGCCCTGGCCAGGCATTCGAGGGCACGCTTGCTCGCCCGCAGCCCCGCCGCTCACCCCGACTTCCTCACCCCACAGATGGCCTGGGAGGAAGAGAAGCAGCAGGAGTGCCCAGTGGCGGAGGTGCAGATTTTGGGGGAAAAGTGAAACTGGTGCACAGCCCTCGCTCTCTGCAGGGAGGAGGGGGCTGGGTGGAGGCGCACAGCCTGGCGGTGGTTGGACGATTGGGCGTTTGTGAGGGCGGGTGGTGGGGAGCCCAATGCAGTTTACACAGGGTTATCTCCCAGAAGAAAATAAAATTTCTGTTGCGATTATTTCTCAAAGGGCTTTTTCATCCCCTTACTTGGTCCTGGAGGTGGGGGGTCACCCCAAGGCCACCAGGACGCACTTTCCAGCCTCCTGGAACTGGCTGCATCTGCTTCCACGTCCACTGGACTGGCTCCTTCCTGAGTCCTGAGCGGCCTTTGCTGGTCTGGTTTCTCCATCTTTAACTGTATTTTGTTTTCTTGCAGCAAGTCCCCTTTGAAGCCCCTTAGATCCCGTGCAAGGGAGGCGACCCCAGGGACGGCACACAGACCACGGGTTGGGGCAGCAGACAAGGGGGTGTCAGGACAGCGTTTCCTGTAGAGGGGGGCAGACGCAGAGGGGCGGCCTTGCGTCCAGAGATTGGGCGGGGGAGGGGGAAGCCGGGGAGCCCAGGTGTCTGCCACCCTGAAGGACACCCACAGGCAGGCGCCCAGGAGACACCCCACGGGAAAGCAGGTCTCCACGCAGCAGGGCTTCCCAGGAGTGACCTCATCCCTCAACCTCCGTTACGTGTCAGCATCGCCAGTTTGTGCATGAAGAATTCACCCTGAATCACAAATGCAGACTTGCGCAGATTGAGGTCACTGCTGCTGCCGATTTAGCGCAAAGCCCTGCGGGGGCTCCGTTTCAAGTTGCTGCTTGAACAAGCCCTTAAACGGACGGTTCTCCAGTGAGCTGAACTGCACAACTCCGAATCCAGAACTTAGCACGCTTCAGCAGTTCCAGATGGTGTCCGGGTTTGAAGTCACTGCACCGCCCGTGCTGAGGCTCAGAAGGCAGGGCTCCAGCGCGGGGCAGGTGTGAGTGCCGACCGGTCTTGTCCTGCAGGTAACCGACCTGGTTACCTGCAGCTGACCTTGGGGAAGCCTGCTAACGTTTCTAACCTGACGTCACTGTGGTCTCGAGGTGTAGCGCGAGATCTGCCTTCCAGGGGACTAAGCTGGCCTCTGGGACTGTCCCCGCCTCCAGCTCCTGTACTAACCCCCTCAATGTCGCCTGGTCCTAGGAGCCAGGGGACAGCTCTCGCCTGGGCGGCCGAGTGCAGGGCACACACCGGGGATGCTCCCTGACTTCCACGGGCACCAGGGGAGCTGATCCCCAACGTGAGATACCAGGATCCAGAGTCCACCTGGTGGAAGCTGCCGACAAGTTCTGTCCCTGCAGTGACCTTGAGAATTTGTGCAGAAACGGCTCTGGGGGATGAAGGAAGCCAACATGCCTGGGGCTGGGGGCCCCGGCACGCCAGGTGGAGGGGCAGGCCCACGACACGGGGGAGGCTATCAGGTGAACAGTGCCTGCCGCTCCAGGGCTCCTGTGGTTCGACTCCAGCTGCAGTGTGGGCTGGGATGGTGAGCGGCAGGGAAGCTCGGAAATCCCAAGTACCCCTCACCCCCCAAGGGCGGACCCCATGACATGCCTGGCTGTCCCCACAGCCACCTCTCCTGGAGGCAGCTGGAGACCACCCCGCCCCTCGTACAAGTCCGCGCAAATCACAAACACAACTGCGTCTTGAGTCCCGGTTTTATTCTGTAGCGGAATGCCCAACGTACAACGTAATTGCAAGTATTCGGCTGTGCAAAAGAGAATAGTGCTTAAGTACAAATGGGAGACATGATTTGTTTTAAATAAATACTTAAACACGGGTTGGTCCTACAAGCACCTGGAGTCTAGGTCTGCCTTGGCGGAGCTGCCTCACCTGTGGACCCACGAAGACACCATGATTCCCCTCCCCCCAATCAACGCATGGACCCACGGTGCCGACGGCCGCGCTGACAACGCGCCCTCGGCCGGAGCTGCCCGGCCCTCCGCAAGGCCTGGAATTTCTCGAAGGTCAGTGGTCCGTAACAGTTAGGTGTCAGTATCACTCTCCGGGGCCCTGCGGGCCCGGGCCCGCGGCGCCTAGATGACCTTCTTCAGTTCGTCGTACAGGACCAGCACGAAGGCGCCGCCCATGCCGCGCAGGACGTTGGACCAGGCGCCCTTGAAGAAGGCTTTGCCCCCTTCGTCTCTGAAGATCTTGCGCCAGCAGTCCAGGGTGCCCCTGTACATGATGTCGGCTGCGGGGAGAGGGGCGGGGGTCACGGGCGGGGCCGCGGCACAGCACAGAGCCAAGTCCCAGGACACGGAGCCCCGGCCGCCCCCGAGCTACTCAGAGTTGACTGCAGGGAAAAGGAAGCTCGGGACGGACTGACAGAGCCCCAGCTGCTGGCCGCTGCCGGGCCCACCGCGAAGAGGGATCAGACCCAGAACTTGAGCCCCCAGCTGCCAGGGCCCGTGGACACCCCAGAGTCAAGGGCACCGGCGTGGAGAGACCCCCACACAGGGCCCCTGAGACCACTGCCCCGCCTCCCCCATCGAGCCAGACCACTTCACCCTGGGCCAAAGCGCTGCCCCAAATGCCCCGGGGAAGCACCTCTCGTGACGGCCCCGTGCCCAGTCGGGGACCCCCCACACCCTCCCAGCATGAACCGTGGAGCAGAGCTGAGACAGGTACCTCCTTTGCGGCCCGACTGCATCATCATCCGCCGGCGCACGGTGTCGAAGGGGTAGGAGACCACGCCGGCCACGGCCGTCACCGTCTGCGCGATCATCCAGCTCACCACGATGTGGGTGTTCTTGGGGTCGGGGAGCATGCCTGTGGAGCCATCGCATGAGGCCCAGCGCCACACATGGCTGCCCGGGAACAGGACCCCCCCACCCCCAGCACCACGTAGAGATCCCAGGACCAAGTGATGCTCGGGAGGTGACAGGGGCCCTAGGGGCCTGGAGAGGGGGAAGCCCCCACTGCCTGGGAGTGGTCTCCAAGGCAGGACGGAGGAGGGCCTCGGGGAGCGGACACTTCCACACCAATTCTGCAGCTGAGTTGCCAGCAGGCGTTCGCCGTGACCTCTGGAGTGGCTTACTTTCAGGGTCTGAACTGGGTGCCCCCACAAATCACGATGAAGCCCTAAAGCCCAGGACCTCAAACCGACTACAATAAGGCATGAAATCTTAAAAAGGATGACAAATATAAAAGACCATAAAAGATTGTAATAAAAGGACTGGTGCCTTCACCTAAGAGATTAGGGCAAAGACACACAGTGACCACCCCTCGAGGACACACGGAGGCAGCGGTCTACACACTGAGAGAGGCCGCAAAAGGAACCAGCCGTGCTGACACCCTGATCTCGGGCTTCCAGCCCCCAGGACTGGGAGACCCCAAGTGTCTGGTCCCGAAGCCCCCTCCACCAGCCCCACCCGCTGGACAGGTTAATGCGCAGCCCCGGGAGGAGGGCGCACTCACCTTTGGCGGTGTCATACACGCCGAAGTAGGCGGCCCGGTAGATAATGATGCCCTGCACGGAGACGTTGAAGCCCTGGTACAGGCCTCGGACGCCATCAGACTTGGTGATCTTCACCAGACAGTCTCCAAGGCCTTTGAATTCCCGCTCCTTGCCGGACTTCCCCACGTCGGCTGCCAGGCGGGTTCTGGCGAAATCCAGCGGGTAGACGAAGCAGAGGGAGGTGGCTCCGGCCGCGCCTCCAGAGGCCAGATTGCCAGCGAAATACCTCCAGAATTGCGTGTGCTTGTCCACGCCCCCCAGGAAGATCTGCTTGTACTTGTCCTTAAAGGCGAAGTTGAGGGCTTGCGTGGGGAAGTAGCGGATGACGTTGGCCAGGTTGCCCCTCCAGAAGGACAGCACGCCCTGCTCCTTGGGGATGCGCACGATGCAGTCCACGATGCCTTTGTACTGCTTGTCGGCCGCGATTTGCTTACTGGCATGTTGCACCTGAGGGTGGACGGGGAGGGCTTTACCCGAGACGCCCGCAATTATCGCCCCCTCCAACGAAAAGCCTGGCCTTAAAATAGGGTAACTCGCCTACCAGGCCTTAAACCTGCCCAAACATCATGTGTAGAAACCCGTTCCTTTTTGGGAACCCACTGTCCCTGCAAGTGTTCTAAAGCAACTACCTGGCAACAATGTTCCTATTACGACTACATTTGTAACACTTCTGCAAGAAAGTA